TGCCTACAGGTTGGAATTAATATTCAACCATTGTTAAAAAGCTTAGGGTAAAAATAAATTAGCAGCTGGAAATAAAAAGCAATTTTATGCCTTCATAAATGTCTTCATGTGCTGCAAATTACAGCTCTCCTAAGGCAAGGATTTTGCAGAATAAGAGTCATGAAGGTGAATTTCCCAAACAATCCCTATTTCAAGGACCCCCTTAGCTTTCCGAGGGGATGTACTAGGAATCATGAAGAAAGTGGAGAGCAAAACCAGTATCTTAATCCAGGGGTCTTCAAACTTGGCCCTTTTATGACTTGTGGACTTCAACTCCCAGAATTCCTCAGCCAGGAACCTTGGAGGTTATCTAGTCCAACCCCCTGTTCAGGCAGGAAACCCTATACCAGTGGTTCTCAACCTTTCTAATGTCGCGACCCCATAATACAATTCCCCATGTTGTGGTGACCCCCAACCACTTACACATCACCGGGTGCTAGGGGCATGGCCAAAGAAAAGGAGAAAATGGCGGACAGCCTTGTTTGGCGACCCCCGTGAAAAGGTCGTTCGACCCCAAATGGGGTCCCGACCCACAGGTTGAGAACCACTGCCCTATACCATTTCGGACAAATGGCTGTCCAGTCTCTTCTTAAAAACTTCCAGTGTTGGAGCATTCACCGCTTCTGGAGGCAGGTTGTTCCACTGATCAATTGTTCTGAATGTCAGGAAATTCCTCCTTAGTTCTAGGTTGCTTCTCTCCTTGATTAGCTTCCCTCCGTTGCTTCTTGTCCTGCCTTCAGGCGCTTTAGAGAATAGCTTGACTCCCTCTTCTTTGGGGCAGCCCCTGAGATTTTGGAAGACTGCTATCATATCACACATTACACGTGAAGCATTAATGTTTTTATGTTGCTTATCCTGCTTGTTAAGCCTGTTCTTACGTGCAGCTGATACTTTGCATGGCTGGTCCCTGATGGGATCTCTGGGTGCGACATCTTCAAGTCCTCCATCTTGTCTGTCGTCCTGAGCTTTGCTCTTAGAAATCACATTGCACACTCACAATCTGGTGATCACCTGGCAGAAAAGAGTGTTTGGTTCTTTAGGGGAGTGGTCTAGCTCCCAAGTGTGCTGGTGTGCTGGTCTTTCTTCAATTGTAGTTCTTAGAATCATACGGCTGGAAGGGACCTTGGAGGTCTTCTAGTCCAACCCCCTGCTCAAGGCAAGGAGACCTTATACCAGTGGTGGCGAACCTATGGCACGCATGCCAGAGGTGGCACTCAGAACCTTCTCTGTGGGCATGCCCGCCATGCCCCGGAGATGGCAACTGCCTCTCTTCAACCAGCTGTCCGCTAACTCGCCAAGGTCCCAGGTGGCCGGATGCATCCAGCATGGCTGGTTTCCCTCCCCCCCATCCCATCCCTCCTAGCCTCGCATGCTCTCTGTTATGGTTCCGGCTAATGAAACACTTCAAAGAACTTCCAGTCATTTATTGTTACAAAATGTCGGCACAGGCATAACGGAGGTATGCCAAGATCTAAATTCTCCTCCCCCGAGCAATTAAATTATTAGCATGTTCCCTCCCTAAATTAGCAGTCATGTATCACGTTATCCAATCAGTGTGAAGATCAAAGGTTTCCTTCCTCTCTTTTTCCCGGGCTTTTCCCCCCACCCTCTTTTGCTCTGCATTAACTCTAAAGATACCAGACAGTTCTGCATATTGTCAAAGCAAGAATATAAAGTATTTGCAGCGTTGACACTCTCTTTTTCCCAACCCACTGCATCGCCTCCTCATCTGTCAGCTGGCCATCCAGCTCAGAGGCGGGTTCTCTGAACTGCTGGTGGCGGGCTGCGGAGCCCCAGAGTGTGCCCGTTAAGGGGTCGGCAGGCTCTGGCTGCTGACGGACACTGTTGGCCCCCATGTGCTTGCTGGCCTCTGTGTGCGGGGGCCCATGGTGTCAGGCAGAAGCCACCCCAGCCTCTGTGTCGCCTTGCCCTGCGACAATGGCACCCCCACCCTGCCTCACCTTGCCTCACCCCATAGGACGAGCCTCCTGCCCACCACCCCACTTGCCAGAGACCCCCTGGATCTCCCCCAGCCCTGCCCGGCCCCCACAGGCATCCCTCCCCACGAGCAACATCGAGGTGACTACGCCCACCCTGGCCACACCCACCCAGTCTGCCATGATCACCAGGAGCCACGCCCACCCAGTGGGCCATGCCCACTTGGCACCCGGCGATAAATAAGTGGGTTTTGGGTTGCAGTTTGGGCACTCGGTCTCTAAAAGGTTCGCCATCACTGCCTTATACCATCCTGGTCAACTGGTTGCCTAATCTTTTCTTGAAAACTTCCAGTGAGTGGGAATTACTGTATTATGTCAGGCTCTTTTTTTTTTTTTTTTTTTTGCAGGAATGTTTTAAATTTTCAGGTATGTAGAGAGTTTGCTTTGATTTTTTTTCAGTTTGGAAAGAATTAGTATTCTTTCCCACCAAGAATAGAGGATTAAAGAACATCCATTAGCGGAAAAATAGGATTTGCATGTTTGAAATCTTAGATTGCTTCCCGGTTAAAAAGATTTTAACGCAGAATTCATTTGGCTTTAAAAGAGTCCGAAAGTAGGCTTTGTTGCTTTCCTTGATGGAGTTTGGAAATTGAGTATTAACCAAGAGGCTTTAGTGCAGTGTTTCTCAACCTTGACCATTTTAAGGCATGTGGACTTCAACTCCCAGAATTCCACAGCCAGCAATGCTGGCTGTGGAATTCTGGGAGTTGAAGTCCACATGCCTTAAAATGGTCAAGGTTGAGAAACACTGCTTTAGTGGCAGATGAAGATGAATGAAATCAAAGCAAGGGCTTTTGACCCCTGAATTCATACTTAGTTGTGTCCTGTATTTGCATAATACCTTTGCTTAGATTACAAGGTCACAAAAACACCGGTCAATTAGATTTAAATAGCTGAATTTTAATCCTCCAAGCCTATTAAAGCAATGATATTTGGGCTACTATGTTCAGCAGAGCTAATTATAGACACATTCTTGCTTCCTGAGTGAAATAATTAGGGATGGTAAATGGTTAAAAAAGAATCTGTGATTCAGATAGGTCTCACGAAAAACTGCTATCACTTGAGAAGCTTGTCCTTTTCTTAATGAAATTGAGTTCAAGGACTCTTGGTTCTCAAGTTTCCACAGTGGGTTCTAAACCCACATTTCATATCTACCCCTCTTACTGACCTCCCCTTGTTTAATTTACAGAATGGTGAATTTTATACTAATGAGACAGCGTGAAAGAAGCATGGAGCAAAATCGTGATCTGTGCGGCTGCTGCTTCCTCATTTAATACGTTCCCTGCAAAAAAAAAGCAGACCCTCGGCCAGTGTATAGCATCACAAACGCAGCGTGACTGATTTGCAACACCCCACAACCACAACCCATTACTCGCAGTTGTGGGTTGTCTTCTACCTCAGCAGTGGTGCTTTCAGCTGGGCCTTCAGTAAGAGCAGCAGGCTCAGATGTGATCCAGAGCTCCAGGCTAAAATATTTTCAGGATGGTGTGGGTAGTGAAATTGCTTTGAGTTAGTTAATACAGGTAGTCCTCGACTTAACAACAGTTTGTTTAGTGACTGTTCAAAGTTACAGTGGCACTGGAAAAAGTGACCTATGACCATTTTCACACTTAACGGCCATTGCAGCATCCTCGTGGTCATGTGATCAAAATTTGGACCCTTGGCAACCGACTCGTGTTTTTGACAGTCGCAGTGTTATAGGCTCATGTGATCAACTTTTGTGATCTTCTGACAAGCAAAGTCATTGACTCTTGAGATAATGCAACCGTCATAAATACACACCAGTTGCCAAGTGCCTGAATTTTGATCACCGGGATGCTGCAACGGTCGTATGTGTGAAAACTGGTCATAAGCCACGTTTTTTCCAGTGCCGTTGTAACTTTGAAAGTTCACTAAACGAACGGTTGTAAGTCAAGGATTGCCTGTAATATGAAGAGAGCATCGAATTCCTTCTGTAAGCCATCATAGTTGGGGGGGGGGGGGAAATTGGCAAGTTTCTTAGAGATACCTGAAATTGTTTGCAAAGAAGAGTGGTGACCTCATGTTCATAAAATGGACCAGATATCTACAGTATGGTATTGAGTTCACAGAACTAGCCAACGGGTTTATATTATTAGCTAGGGGCACCTGTATGATGATGTTTATGATGACAATGTTATCCATTCAGTTGCGTCCGACTCTTGGCGATTCTATCGGCCAGATCTCTCCACATCTATAGGCACATATGTGCCTGTAGGATGTGATCAAAAAGGTCCAGATGGCAGTCCTAGTGGTACAATCCAAGATTTGTCTGTTTGATATATCTGTCATGCGTGCCATATGCTGTATGTTTTTATTTGTATGCATATATAATATATCTTTTAATTGGTGTGTAGTTTGCATTGTGGATAGCATTCAATTTCATTGTGAGAAAAACAACACAATAAAGATATTCTAATTCTAATATACATACATAATTCTAATGTACATAGAAAACAGGCAGAGCTTAGAATAGATTATGCTGTTATGTTTGCTAGCTGCATTTTTTGGGCTGATGCTTATACCCACGGTGTGTTATTAACCAACATTAACAGTTTGCATATGTGATTGGTACAGTCAAAATAGAAGAGTACTTACGCTATTTTAAGGGGAATATGGAATGGGAAAGCTCTCTGTTTTTAATGTTATAACTAGTCCTGTACCAAATCCACTAAATGAATGAATACATAATGATATCTGAGTTCTTAAAACTCCAGGGCCTTTTAAACTCTGTGTACTTGTTAAGAAAAATAGATTTACCAGCCTAAACTGCTCGTTGTGCAAAAGGGCAGAGTATTTGACTCTAACAAAAATATTAAGCAGTCAACGGCGTTCTTTTCCATTTCTGTGTTTTTTTTATAAGCACAAAATAGTTTAGAACTATGACAAACAATTGGAAGCGTCAGAAATCTAACAGACCGTGATTCCCTTTTGTTCTGCCCTTAGGAGAACCTTGTTAACATACCTATCTGCGAAGATTTAACTCCAGGATCCGCACCCAGGATCTGTTTCGCCTCGTTTCACAAGGACGGCATTGTTTCAGTAAGTGAGAGTTCTTTTATCTTTTTCAGGGTTTCCAAATAACTCACAGGCAGATGATACAGCAGAAACCAAACGCATGACTTCGATTCTTCCAATGCATCTGGCTGAGGATACGCAGCATAGCTGACGATAGAAATAAAGGGGGCAGACATTTTCCCAAGTATCAATCTGTGGCCAAAATTGCCACTTTAATCAAAGATAGGAGTATTATGAAGGCAAGGATAAAATCTAAAAAAAAAAAAGGAAAAAAAGAAAAGCAGCACAGTACACCAGATTGCAAAGCCAAGTAACTACAGTATTATCCATTTAGCATTGCAGTGGTCTGACGCTGGTGAGAAAACTAACAACCAATCAGTGGTCTAGTCAGTGTTACCAAGTAAACATCTCCATGTGGGAGTTAGGATATTGTGCGGAAGAAGAGTTTATAGTCAGAAAGACTGCATACCAGTTATATGGGTTAGTTTTCAAAAAAAGATTAGTCCTACATAGGCAATGTACTGTATTTGCCCGAAAATAAGACTGGGTCTTATAATTAACTTTTGCTCCAAAAGACACATTAGGGCTTATTTTCCGTTAGGTCTTATTTTGGGGAAAATACGGTACTAAATGTGTCCGTCTGGCAGATAATCTTAACTGGGGCTTATTTTTGGGATGGGGCTTATATTATGAGCATCCTGAAAAATCATGCTAGGGTTTATTTTCTGGTTGGGTCTTATTTTCAAGGAAACAGGATAGGTGGAAAGCCACGTTAGTCTGTGGTAGCCTTTTTTCAGGCTAATAAATTTTACTAAAAGGCATAATTTTGGGGCGGGTATTGACAAACGACTCACTAACACAAAGAATGACACCAGACCCACACTCAGTAAAACCACACAGGAAGTCACCACCACACATCCACGCAAAAAGCAAACCCAAAGCCACACCGATGATGAGGCACAACCACAAACCAGAAGTCAGACCACAGCTGCATCATTAGCCACTTTAAGCCCCTCCAATCCATACTTTATTTATTTATTTATTTCTAAAATTTATATGCCGCCCAATCCCAAGGGATTCAGGGCGGCGTACAAAATTTAAAACAATAATATGACAATAAAACAATAAAATAAATACATTCATACAGCGTGTCCGATCATATCCCACCCCCCACCCCCCGTGGACATCAGCCCCAGGCCTTCCGGAACAGGAGAGTTTTAATGGCTTTCTTAAAGGCCGGCAGGGTGGGAGTAGTTCGAATCTCGGGGGGGGGGGGGGAAGTTGATTCCACCAGGTCGGAGCCACCACAGAAAAGGCCCTTCCCCGAGGGCCCGCCAGCCGACATTGTCTGGCCGACGGGACCTGAAGGAGGCCCAATCTGTGGGACCTCACCGGTCTCTGGGAACTGTGCGGCAGTATGTGGTCCTGTAAGTAACCTGGTCCTATGCCATGAAGGGCTTTAAAGGTGATAACCAACACCTTGAATTGCGTCCGGAGACCCACAGGAAGCCAGTGCAGCTTGCGGAGGATAGGTGACACGTGGGCATACCTTGGCGCGCCCACAATCGCTCTCGCGGCTGCATTCTGAACCAACTGCAGCCTCCGAACGCTCTTCAAGGGTAGCCCCATGTAGAGCGCGTTACAGTAATCCAGTCTTGAGGTGACAAGGGCTTGAGTGACCGTGAGTAAAGCCTTCCGGTCCAAATAAGGCCGCAACTGGTGCACCAGGCGAACCTGGGCAAAGGTCTCCCTGGCCACAGCCGATAGATGTTGTTCCAAATTTAGCTGTGAGTCCAGGAGGACACCCAAGTTGCGTGCCTGCACTGAGGGAGGTAAATTTACCCCTCCCCAGTACTAATGATGGACCATCAAGTTGACCTTTGGGAGGCAAGACCCAGAGCCACTCGGTCTTGTCAGGGTTAAGTCTAAGCCTGTTCACCCCCATCCAGACCCTCACATCTTCCAGGCACCGGCACATTACGTCGACTGCTTCACCAAAAGGACACGGGGTGGAGATATACAATTGGGTATCATCCGCGTACTGATGATACCTCACCCCGTGTCGCCGAATGATCTCACCCAGCGGTTTCATGTAGATGTTAAAAAGGAGGGGGAACAGGACCGAGCCCTGAGGCACCCCATGATCGAGGCGCCTAGGGGTCAATCTCTGTCCGCCCGCCAACACCGACTGTGACCTGTCAGAGAGGTAGGAGGAGAACCACCGCAATAAGGTGCCGCCACCCCCACTTCTCCGAGACGACGCAGAAGGATACCATGGTCGATGGTATCGAAAGCCGCTGAGAGGTCAAGAAGCACCAAGATAGAGGAATGACCCCTATCCCGGGCTCGCCAGAGGTCATTGGTCAGTGCGACCAAAGCATACATGAAGCAAACTAGCATCCACCATGAAGATGAGGCACGACTACGAACATGAAGCCAAAAAATAGCAAGGCAGCCCATCATCTTAAATCCCCCTGCAACTCAGACTAACCTGAGCACAACAAAGCCCCCACCCAAACAGAACACTCCCCCATCCAATCAGAGCACAGCCAACCCCCCATCCAATCAGAGCACAGCCAAACCCCTAACCAATCAGAACACACCTCCACCCAATCAGAACACAGCCAAGCTCCCACCCATCAGTTCATACCTCCACTGGCAGTTAAAAGGAAGAAACAGCTAAGACCACACATTGCTCCTCGAAGCACGAAGCTGAAAACACCAGCCTGAAGATGACGAATGAGACTTCGTCGAAATGTCGCCAAGACACTTCCAATTTTACGTGGGAGAAAACCCAAATAACCAAAGACCTACATACAAACACCTGCGAAAACCTCAGAAAACATATATAGCAAGATTTTTTTTTCCTGTTCAACTTATTTATTGTTATTTAAGAGATGGATGCCAGGTTTGCCTCCTTCCTTCCAGTTAATACTCATCAGGAATCAGGTGCTTAAGTATGTTTCCATCCTCCTCATAGAGCATCATCTGCATCAGGCAAGGGAGCCTGAAGCCCCAAATTAGGTGTAATGGGTGATGCATAGCTACCATAGGTCTGTCTTTTTTCATAGCTTCTAGTAAAAAAAAAGGTTGGTTTCAGTTGCCCAATCCTATATTTGGTTTAGCTCTGATCCACAGCAGTGTAACAAGAAAGGAGCTGGATCTTCACTCTTCTAGCAGTTAAGAAAATTTGGCGTTTGCACTATCTCCATTTTGGAGTCATTAACCAAATGAAAAACGGGGGATAGAAATATAAGTAAACAGAAACTGTTCCTACATTAAATTAGCCGCTGCCCTTTGAGAGTTTCCCTGGTCTATTTTAACCTGTTTTCTTGCTGTCTTCTTTTGCGGAGTAACAGTCCATTGCTCTGATTCATTGCATCTCTCTTGGGAAAATAGAAGCAGTCTCTCTTACAAGTACCTGAACAAAAGTGCTTACTGGACCCACTATGTGGATCTGCAAAACGTTTCTCAATTCCTGCAGGGCGGATTTTAGTCTTTCCCTCCGGGCTTAGAGCAGGGGTCCCCAACCCCCGGCGACATACCAGCACCGGTTTGCGGCACGCCAGAAACCGGACCGCACAAATGAGCGAAGCCCCATCCGTGCACACATGGGACGCAGGCAGCAAATGAAACCATGCTCCCAACCATTTGCAGAAAAGTCTCTCTCCATGGAACCAGTCCTCAGTGCACAAAGGTTGGGGGCCTTTGGGCTAAAGACTGTCTTGAGAGGACCCAGGACCAGTGGTGGGATTCAGCCGGTTCGCACCACTTCAGCAGAACCGGTAGCTAATTTTTTGTTGCCCAGGCCCAAAATGGACTTCTGGAAGCGGCGTCCACACAGAGAACCGGCTGTTACCATATTTGAATCCCGCCACTGACTATACTGCTATTTATTTGTTTCCCTGTTCAATTTATTTGCCGCCTAACTTGCTGTAGGGCTACTCTAGGCGGCTTAAAATAATAAAAAGGAAGAAAAATGAAAAGTGAATAAATAGAACAAAAGTAAAATAATAAAACAATAAAATACAAAAGAACAAAACAAGAATTAATGCATCGATACAATAGCAGTAGCACTTAGACTTATATTGTAACGATGCTAAGAAAAAGACTCAGGCATGTCTTGGGCAGTGGTTTGAAGCTGCATGACACATCTTCACACAGCTTCTCCAACTCTGAGTTTATTGTTTTTTATATACTTTTTACATACATAGGCTTTACCATTAACTGCTGACATTTTACATTTAGAAGTTTAACCTTTAGTTGTTGACATAAAGTAATTGAAAAATTCCTTCATATAAGCAATTATTTTCTAGTAACACATTACCTGTTGAGAGCAGGTAAAAACAAATACAGGTAAATTAGAAAAGGAGAAAGAACTGATAAAGACAAGAAGAGATAAAGACAGGAAGAGATAAGGGGGAACTTATTATTTAGGTAGGTAAGATATTAAGTCAAAAGGGGGTGATCTTTTGGCTGCTTCCTTGGGACAAAGGGTATCAAAAGGTTATGAGGTTTGTGGGGGGCAATGCATGGCAGTTTGCTGCACGTGCAAATTCCTCCACATTATATACCGCTTCCCAGTGCTTCCCAGCCCTCTCTAAGCGGTTTACAGAATCAGCCTGTTGCCCCCAACAATCTGGGTCCTCATTTTTACCGACCTTGGAAGGATGAAATGCTGAGACAACCTTGAGCCGGTCAGGATCGAACACTTGGCAATGTGAGCAGAGTTAGCCTGCAATACTGCATTCTAACCACTGCACCACCACCATCACAAAAAAGATGGATGGCTAGAGAGCTAGAGTTTGAGTCTACCATCTCCAGTGTGGAACTCGCCCATTTGCTGCCAAGGTCAGTCAGCAGAGCTATCCTTCCAAAATGCCTTCAACTCCAACTCAGTTTGAGTTTGTCATTTTTTTTTTTCCTGGGCAAATAGGCACGCTTCCAGTAGAACAGGATGTGCAGTTCCCTTCCGTGCATTTTTTTTTTCAAAAGAAAAAGCAATCTAAAAATAAAAATTCACA